TAGCAGTAGAAATGAGCAAAAATCTTAGAAATCATGAAACATAACTTAAGAGAAAAATTTTGACCCATGTCATAGCGAAAATCAGTAATAATTGACCATGATGCACGGTTCATCAAAATTAAACATTTCAGCCACCACAAAGTTATCTTGCTCTAAACTACAAGTTCAAATGCGCTTACTATTTGGGGACAACAGAGAAAGTCACCAGATAAATTCACCCACGCGTTCATGATTATTGGCAATGGGGAGGTGAAAGGATGATAGCATCTAAAAAACAGTGGATTGTATGTGAAGGCGAATCATGGAGAGGAAAATTCTTATCAGCCACTGCAAAACCGAAAGCTTGCCATGAACCGAGAAACAATTAGGAACGAAGCAGCCATTGTCTACAAGTGAATGCCCAGCTGATGATTTTATGCAAATCAGTCCAAATCAGTGGACGATATTTTGCCGACAAAGCCAAATACAAAAATTCGGGCCTTTCCATAATATGTCTGATATCAAATCTGCTTGCTAATGCAAACAAACTTCGTCATCCTTTCCTGTTCCGCCCTGATTTATTAACGACTTCTTTTTTATTCTTGTTCCATCCCTGACATAATCAACCGTCGCAGAATTGGCTGGTTTGGATATATAGCGAGGGAGTCAACATAGGTTCCTGACTACAGTGTATTTGCCTCGACTGTAAGCATTTGCAGCTGGGTCCCATCGTTGCTTTCATAAATAGCGACCCAGCAATATACCACGAGACACATGGATGAAACAGTTTGGTCGATCAGATCCCCTGATTGTGGCACAATTCCAAGCCGCCTTCGCCAGAGGTCGCAGTTAATTCCCGCAATGGCTTAAACGCTTACAGCGCACCACTGCTAATGACGATGATGAGCTCTAACTCATGTAACATCCAAAGGAAGGAAGCAAATTATAAATTCTTGAAAATACATAAAATAAACCCGATCTTATTGGGATTACTAGCACCCTGGTAGTTTCCCATACAACCGCTAAGAGAAATAACGTATTCTCTTTTGATATCGGATTAAAACCTAGGAATGGTCCTCCAGGCGGCTAGAAGCAAGGTGTCGGTGCCATAACGCCGTTTCAGTCTGGTATCAAAAGAGAAAATGTTATTTCTCTTAGCGGCGGTATCGATAACTAGCAGTATGCTAGTACACCCATAAAATCTGGATTGTTTTTATACGTACAGATATGCCTTCGGATAATGGCATATCGGCAGGTGTCCGAACAAGCATTTGTTCAGCTATGCGTAGTGGTGCGGTTTTGCATTCATGCACTGTAGGTGCTCAAACAAAATAGAGCAGTGGCCTGCTTAAATGGTACCCTAGCCGGCTAGATGCAAGGGGACGGTGCCATTACGCCGTTTTAATCCGGTATCAAAAGAGAAAACATTATAATTTGAAAAACTTCCACGAAATTCGAATATTTGCAATAACAATAAGAAAAGGAAAGGAAAGTTTTTAACCTTTGGAATGCTTGCCTTCCATATACCTTCATGACAGGGCGATTTAGGACACCGCCCCTCTTTTCATAAAGTTAAGAGTGATGCGCTGATCCCCATTTTCATGCCATCAGGCAAAAGCACCCTACTGTAAAGACAGAAGCGAAGCAGTCATGTGATAAGCATAGTTTACAGTCTCCTGCTTCCTTCATTCATCAGCCTTTGAAGGAAGACCTGATAATGGCAATGAAGTTCGTACATACATCGTGTACTGTCCGTAGTAACCATGTATCGCCTACCTTCCGCAGTACGTTCTCGCTGTCACTCGTTCCGTCGAGCGTCATTCGTCTAGCAACCTTGAACCGCGTTGAGGTCATAGCGATAAAGTCTAAATAATGATCGCCATTACGATTCATAACAAGCATGGAAACAAAATCAGCAGCTAATCGATGAATCAGCATCATTGAAAAAAATCATTGAAACAAATCGACAACAACGTAATTAAATTAATTGACGTTCGATCCCCCAACTCAGTAAAGGAATTCACATGGTACATTCTGCATTACCGTAAGAGTTAAACAATGAAGTCTCAGAAACTAATCGAAGTCAAATGTCAGCTTTCTGAACTGAATGTCTCTGATTTGTCAAAATATCACTGACGTCATGACATGAATGATTTTGTGGTGGAGAAGCCAAAGAGCGAACACTGACTGTTTCATAAACAGACAAGAGTTTTCACTGTTTTCGTTTTATTGGTTATTTACATATTTAAGTTACAAATATGAATGCTGTCGTAACTCTGATCAAGATGCCAAATAAATATGCGTAAGCCTCGTCTTACCTCTTATTCTTACTCGACCAGTAATTCTTATCTTTCTTACCAGAATCTTTAAACAGGTAAAAAAACATGTCAAACCAGCTTTTCTGTACGCACGATCTGTCATAACCATCAAGAAGGCACGACATAGTACGAAGAACTTCTGCTCACCTAAGAAAAGGCTAAATCCAGGCTAAATATCAATAAAGAAAAAGTAAAAAAGCGAGAGTTTCACTGGAGAATCCTCGCTAAGCACTTACGTTATGGCGCTATGAAAAAACAGAAAAGGGTATTTCATAACAAAAACGAATTAAAGCACTTAAAACACAAGCTGCTAAGATTATTGAGGCACAAGGTGTAATCGGTGGCAACCAATGCACAATGACGACCACAAATTCTTCAGTGTCATGCAGATGCACTATGTGGTTGATCAAGAACGAAGTAGGAGCAGAAAGGCGTGACAAATGATTGAAAAAACTATTTTCCAAGTTCGCTAAAAGCCCTTACCTAATACTCACTTTTGAGCAAATTGTTTAGTTTTGCCAAAAAATTATTAATTATATTTTTTGGAATAGCCATTCCATAAAACAGTTGTGAAAATTAGAGCAATTAATGTTAGTGAATAGCGAAAGAAAGAAGACGAGAAAAAGTGCCACTAAGCTAAAAAATTTAATGACAGTGAAATTGGTGCTTAATAGTCAATGGTCGCAGCTACCGGGGACAAGGAAAAGCTGGATTTTGAACTTCTAACGAAGACAAAAAAATAGCCCATGAACAAAAGCAAAAATCTGCCAGGAGGTTCAATTATACCTTGGCCAGTGTGTTTTATGACTAGTGTTAAAATTATAGTTCGAATTAGTCAGTTGAAATGACGGGGGAGGGCTGTGATAGAAAGTAAACCGTAAATCGTCGGCGTTTACAACAATCCGACCAAGCGAAGCCAGAGATCGTGACCTGCTCAAACAAACATTGAATAGCTAATGCATTATAGAGCTTCGTGCTCATCGTCACTAATGACACAGACAACGTTTATTTGATATAATGATCGATGCAATGTTACCAGATGAACAACAAGGGTTCGATCGACAGATTCCTTCCCTAGCTAACTCTGTGGGTAAAAATGAACAGATGAACAACAAGGGTTCGATCGACAGATTCCTTCCCTAGCTAACTCTGTGGGTAAAAATCGATCAAATGACATGTCTATCACAAGAGCAGCAAGTACATTAGCATGACAATATCTGAGTGCCCAAAGTAAATGAAACTTCATCTGACTAAATGGCTGCCGCATCTCGCTTCTTATTCATCATTTATTAATAACTAATATAAAGGATGTGTATTTACGTGTGGCTCGTGATTCTTAATCTATGAATCAATCGATAAATACTAACTTATGGATATGCGCATTTATTCAATCCTTCTGAAAACCCGCTATTCTTTTAAAGTCGCGAGAACAGCTGCATTAGGTCCGTTAAATGGCTACGGCCTCCCACCATACGACAAACTCAGTGGTCTGAATTCAAAGAAGCAATAATATCAGATCTTTCCGTTATCAAACCATCTTGTTGTAGGACTGTCCAATCCCTTCGTCAACTCCCCCTGAGATGATCAAACTTGAAGTTTGACGGTTCGACTAGTAAGTTTTGCCTCTAGTATCCTGGTATACACCAAACCATCGCAACTGCGATTTTACCATTTGGTACAACAGTTCCGCCACTTATATCGCGTAAAGTAGGTTCGGTCAATATCCACTATTCGTCACAGTTACACATATAACTCAGTTATTAATAACTACGTGGCATAGCATAGCAGTTCTGGTAAAAGTTAAGCCGAGAAGATAAACAATATCACTGGTTTCTACGACAAATTTAAAATACTGCAATAATGATGTCATAGTTACTTACTCTGAAAAGCTGCATCATTAAATTTACATGTACAAACTCATATATTTGATGACTGAGTGGTGCATATGAACAGTAGTTATGTGTATAATGAATCGTGATGAGCTCAACAATGTTCTACAAAATAAAATAATGCGAGATGCACCTAGCGTTACCGACCGGTGTAAAAATGGCACTGCCATGATATCGTGGCCTGTTTAAACGGTTGCATATTCAACAAGGAGCAATGGTAGGGGAGCGGGGTAGCATGAAATCTGGCCTTGGGAAAATTATTCGCTTACAGGCAAGACTGGCAAGGATACAAGGATGCAAATATATGACTATTTCATTCAATTCAGTGAAATGTATTTCATACACCAATAGAATCACAACTAATTTCCTTGGTCAGAAC